ACCTTTGTAAGCTCAGGGTTGACCTGTAGGATCCTTGCAGCTCTCTGAGCTTGGTGTTTTTCTTAGAGACATCTCATGGCCAAACTAGGCAACATCATCAGTGCTACGTTATCACCAGCACTGTGTTACCTAGCGGGTAATGAAAACGTCTGCAAGAAAATAACAAAGCTCAGAGAGCATTAAGAGCCCCGCGGTTATTAGAGGTGGCCAGATGGCCATTCACACACTTGTCCCATCTGGACAAAGAGCTGGTAGCCTTATTACTAGTTGCTATAGTTAAATCATATGATTTACAGGGAGTTCTCGACTTACAGCAGTTCATCTTTAAAGTTACAATGACACTGAAAAAAGCGACTTACGACCATTTTTCACACTTAGGACCTTTGCAGCATCCCCATGAATTTGGATCACGGTCTCATGATCAAAATCCAGATGCTTAGCAGCTGCTTCATACTTATGACAGTTGTAGGATCCCCAGGTCATGTGATCACCCTTTGCGACCTTCTGACAAACAAAGTCAACGGAGAAGGCAGATTCACTTAACAGCAGTGTCATTAATTTAACAACTGCCATGATTTACTTAAGAACTATGGCAAGAAAGGTCATAAAATGGGGCAAAGCTCACTTAACCAATGCCCCTCATTTAGCGACATAAAATTTGGGTTCAGTTGTGGTCGTAAACTGATATCTGCCCCGGATTAGTCAGTCTTCAAAATGTAACAGATCATGAATTTACCCAAAAGTTCTACATTTTCCTATCTGTGGCTTCATTGCAAACTTGAAAGAAATGTGGTTCCATTCCACATTTACCAGGGATTTTGAAACTGTGGTTCAAGGCTGGGTTGTCTCAAGCAATTTAAGACTGAGGGGAAGGGTTGCTTTAAAATAAAAAGTCGACCCAGATTTGGATATGCACAGCGGAAGCATCCCACTCCAGGCATTGCTTCCTTATAGACACCCAAATAGACAACCGCAATGCCACAAAGTTTTAGAATGCCTGCAATAGACAGATTACAGTGACATTATTAAAAGTGATGTATTTATTTCTTCTTCCACGCTAATCCCAATGAAGCCATGCATTTTACTCCTGAAGGGATGGTACACACATTCGTTTTAGGAAGTTGTAATACTGTAAAGCTTCAGAATCTTACATATATTATTCTTAACCCTCCTGCCTTCCGTGTAGCTTAGATAACTTCTCCCAGCAAGGCATCTGGCCCACAGCTGATTCCAAACCATTGCTGGCTTGAGAACAGGTTATTGCATGAGGCATAATCAGTTAGGTTTACAACATGTCAAGTAACAATGGCTAAGTGCACACACAACACTTTGAGCCATGTTACCAAACCATCATATATAACACAGTAGTACAATGCATGGACCACATTAATCTTCATTCTTAAGGTACCACAATACTATTGTTTGTGCTTGAAATGCAAGACACATTTACATAATTTGCTGTTCAGCTGAAAGCTTTCAAAAGCAGTGTTATTACAGCGGCCTAGTTCACATACTACACCAAGCTAAAAACCATATTTAGAAAACCACAATGGGTAACATCATTTGCTTCACTTTCACCACACAATTTGCTTTCTAAGCCACCAGTGACCCAAGGCTCACAAATAGCACTCTAAGCCAGGGGTATCCAACCATGGCAACTTTAAGGCTCATGGATTTTAACACCCAGAATTGGGGAATTCTGGGAATTGAAGTCCACAAATCTTAAAGCTGCCAAGTCTTGGAGTCTTCTGCTTTAAGCCATAAATAAATTCATAAACCTAAACAGGCAAAGTTCTCACAATAGGGTTACAACCACCAGAGTTGTCATTGCAGGTAGTCCTCAACTTACAACCACAATTGAGCCCAAACTTTGTTGTTAAGTGAGTTTTGCTCCATTTTACGACATTTCCTGCCAAATTTGTTAAGTGAATCACTGAAGTTATTAAGTTAGTGACATGGTTGTTACGTGAATCTGGCTTCCTCCTTGGCTTTGCTTATCAGGTCATAAAAGGGGATCATGTGACCCTGGGCCACAGCAACTGTTATGAGTCAGTTGCCAAGCATCTGAATTTTGATCATGTGACCACGGGGATGCTCCAAAGGTTGTAACTGTGAAAAATGGTCATATCACCTTTTTCAGTGCTGTGGTAACTTTTGAATGGTTACTAAATGAACTGTTGTAAATTGAGGACTATCTGTACATAGGACATTAAGCCAGAACCAAGCAACTAGTAGTATGGCCTAGTGCAGTGGTGGCAGACTTTTTGGCACTGAATGCTGAAAAAGGAGTGCGCGCGCACCAGAAACCAGAAGAGGAGCTCCCTGGTGCGCGCAGCCACTTGGTCTTCTGGTTTTCAGCGTTCCCACACGCACAAAGACCTGCCGGCTGGCATGCCTGTGTGCAGCGGAACCAGGAAGAGCAACGGCCGATGGCTGGCATGCCCAGAGACGGCTCTGCATGCCGCTTCACGCGTGGCATAGATTCGCCATCTTGGTCTTAGTGCAATATATCACTCCCAGAGTCATCATCCCAACTGGCCTCTAGCGAAGACAAGAAGGTTTAAAATCACAAAGTTGTTTGCCAGTGTCTCACAAATCTCTCAAAACCACAGACAATACACCCATTACACTAAGAGCCTAAGAGCCATAGGTTGAATCCCTGACAATGAACCCAAATTTCTGAAGAATAAGCTTCTTGGATAAGAAGTGAAACTTTTTCAAAGGAAGAAAAACCAAGGAAGTCCCGGTGGCCTTCGGGAAAAGCACCTCTGGGACAACCTGGATGAACGAGAATTTCCACAGACGTAGTGACAGTGAAAAACCCTCTTCTGAAAAAGTTTCAAAAAGCACACACGCTCTCATCTTTTCCTAAATGCTGGGGGCAGAGTTTCTTTAGAGGAAATCTGGAGGATGCTGGTTCCGGTTTTTTTTTTTTTAAAGAGGCGATAAAAAAGAAATACTCCTACAACCGTGGAGGTCACGGCTTGGGCACACAAAGAAAAAGAAAAAACCCCACTGTCCTCCCCCAGCTCCTGCCCTGAGCCTCCCCTCTTTAAGTCACAATTACTTTCCATCACCATTACTTTGTTACATTTACTCCCAGGTAGGATGAGTATGATGAGTCTTGCAAACCCCTTTGCTCTACTTGGGAATAGGAGAGAGATGAAGAGAAGGCAACCCACCCCCTGCTCTGGGCACCCCTTGTCCCAACAGGAACCTACCCGTCTGCACACCCCTTTCAGACACGTGTCACAGCGTTGATGCAAGTTGGGCATCGAAGCCTCTCTGATATTTCCCCAGCGAACCTCCAAGGAACCCTGGTGCCTCTTTCCATTGACCTTTCAAACAGCTATTTCTCCCCCACACCTCCAGAAAGACCTTCCACAGGTGAACCACTCTCTGTCTTCTCACTTATCCACCCTGGTTTTCTCCTTAAAAACTACTGTCCACCACGTACCTGCAGATATTTTGGAAGTAACCGTTTCGAGACTTCCCAAGTTGATGGTCTACCATCCCAACCTTTCAGAGAATTCCAGGTGGGGGGGTGTTAGTTTCAATAAAAGTGGTACCTTCATTCACTAGACTGTGCACTGATAAGCTGGATCCCTACTACACACTAAACTGCCATGTGCACTCAAGCACAGGCTGCTGGGTTCATCCTCCATATTAAGGCATCACCCCACAACAAATTTCATTCTAGCTTGGAACCTCAGGTGGGATCTGTTGAGTGCCAACTCCGTTTGGCTTAGGAGCCCGGTCCTTGCGACTTAGTGGCAGATGGGAGGTGAGAAGGGACCTGACACGGATCTCATCCGGTGCCAGGAGTGGCCTCGGTGTCCCTTGCAAAGAGATACATCAGTCTCTGGTGGGACGTGTGAAGCGCGTGGGGATTCCCCCTTTCAAGACCAGGGGAAATTCTCTTTCTTTCCACCTCCAGAAGGGCTGATGAGTAGCAAGGTGTCCTGTCCAAGGGTTGTTTACTCTCTCCAACACACCTACCAGCCAAGACTTATTCTCCTCATCCAAGCTTGTCCATAGACTGCTCCCTGGCTGCCTGGGTTGCACCCCACTTCCACAAAACAGCTGTGGGTCCCCCATAAACCTTGTCTCCTTGCATACCTGGTACTCAGAGGCTACACATTCCTCTTCCCCCTCCCACAAATCTGATGCTTCAAGAGCCTCTTCTCCGGCTGAGCCCACCTCTCTCGCTTACCCCAGCCTTTCCACAGAGCTGAAACGATTCCCCCACCCACCCATTTCTGATCCCTGCTCCCTCCCCATTTGTTCTGGATTCATCTCAATGCCTGGCCCCCTTTGCCCCCCCCCCCATTCGCTCTCTGCACCTCCCTTTTTTATGCCCCCCCCCCCCCCCCCCCCCCCCAATTATCTGCAATCTCAGCCAATCTCAAACCCTCTTTTCCACCACAGGGCTTTCCCAAATGCAAGTTCGGAGTTTTCGGGAGAGCCCCCTCCCCATCCCGCTGCTTCCAACAAGCCCCGCGGCCCCAGAAAATCTTCCCCACCCGACCCCACTCGGCTCTTGGTAAGCCCCCCTTTGCAAGATTCACGTGGCCTCCCCTTCCTCTTCGCAGGCCTCCCTTGCCCTCCAGCCCCTTGCCCTCCTTGGCTCGCAGAACCGCCCCCCCCCACCACCCGAGCCTCCCCCCCGGAACTTAGCGGCCCCGCCCCCCCCCAAAACGTGGGCCCCCTCCTCACGTCCAGCTCGGGCCTCGCCTCGCCTTCAGCTCCCCCCTCCCCAACGTTGCAAACCGCCTGCCCCGATACCTCTTTCACCCCAAGCCCCCCACCCGCCCCACATCCCGCCGCCTTCGCCTCCATTGTTCTTCGACCAACCTGGCGCCCTCCGCAACCCTGGCCCTCGCCCCCGGCGCCCCCCAAGGCCCCCCCCCCCCCGGGTCCCCGGCCCCGGACCCCCCCCCCCCCCCCCGCTGCACGCTGCCCCTCTGAGCTGGCCCTTCCCGGGCTCCTTGCAAGGGTACCTGCTCCCGAGGGACCCGCGTCCATCCCATCCACGCGGGCGGCGCCCCGGACCGGGGAGAGGGCGAGGAGGGCGCGCTTGCGACGGCGAGAGAGAGAGACCCGCGTCCAAAGGCGCACCGGGACCTGGGCGCCGCTGCAGCCGCAGCCTCTGCTCGGGACGAGCCCGGGATCCCGGGATTGCGCCTGCGCGGCAGCCCATCCAACCAGCGCCGCCGCAGGCTGGGAAAGAGAGGGAGGGAGGGAGGAAAGGGCGGGGGAGGCGAGGAGCGAAGCAAAGAGGTAGGAAACGAGGGGAAGTCTCGAAAGAGCCGACACTTCCGAGGCCGGAGGAGAGATGCTCTCGGCCCCAGAGACGTCAGGAGAGAATTCCGGCCCCAAAACGCCCGGGGCTGGGAACGGATGCAGGCAGCCCCGCTCTACCCACCTCCAGGGAGCAGCATTAGGCAAACATTAGGGAATCGGGAGCCGAAGAAATTAATATCTCCAGGTAAGAAAAGGAAACGTCCCTAAAAGGAGCTTCTTACACGAGGGTTTCCCAACCTCAGAGACGTCATCTCCCAGAATTCCTGGGGAATTCCCGAGGTGGTTGGGGAATTCTGGGAAATGGTCCACCCATCTTCACGTTGAAAAATACTCTCTGGGCCTATGTCTTGCTTCGGATTGGACTCTGAAAGGGAACTTTTGAGTGATCTTTACACCAAGAGGATTCATCTTATTTTTCTGCTCCTTTCTTGTCCTCCAAAACCACCATTGATTCCTCTCGAGTCAGTCCGTTTTATGCTTGTTTTTTTAATTTTCTCATCTCTCTTCCCGGTTGAGATTTGCAATCCGTTCCCTCTTACTTACTCTTTACCCTTTTGTTCTTACTATTCCTGATTCGTTTTGCAATTCATTCCTTCTAAACCAACCTTTTTTAAAAAAACTTTTCAACTTGTAAGATGGCTGGATTTCAAGAAGTCCCCAACCAGCATGTGGACCACTCCACAGTGAGCTGTAGTCCACCCATCTTAAAAGATGCTCAGGTTGAGAAATGCTATTTTAAAAGCTGGCATTCACTTCTAATAAATAAATCAGCCAGCCAGCCAACCAACCAACCATCTAGGGCAGGGGTCTCCAACCTTGGCCACTTTAAGACTTGTGGACTTCAACTCCCAGAATTTCCCAACCAGCATGGGGAATGGAAGCAAGACTTAAAACAGGGATTTCCAATCTTGACAACTTTGAGACTTGCTGGACTTCAACTCCCAGAATTCCTCAGCCAACTTTGCTGGCTGAGGAATTCTGGGGGTTGAAGTCCAGCAAGTCTCAAAGTTACCAAGTTTAGAAACCCTGACTTAAAATGTAGGTGAGTGTGTGTATATGTGTATGTGTCAGAAAGAGCAAATATAATGTTGCAATCAATGATGTTTTGCTGTTGCTTTAAAACCACTGGGTCTCCATGTCCAGGTCATCCTCAGCTTGCAGCCATTCATTTAGTGACCTGTGATTTACAACCTGTCCTTGCACTTACAACCACCACAACATACATACCCACAATCACAATTCAGGTGATTGGCAATCGGTATGTATTTATGGTGGTTGCAGCATCCTGGGTAATGGAATCACCATTTGCAACCTTCCCAGACAGCTTCTGACAAAGTCATTGAGAGAAGCCAGATTCATTTAATGACCACAAGATTCACTTAACAAACACGGGGAAAATGTGGTAAAATTAGACATGACTCCCTTAACAACCATCTTGCTTAGCGACAGAAATCCTAGTCCCAATGGTAGCCATAAATTGAGGACTATCTGTAATGCAAAGAACCTGTGGTGCCTCAGTGTTTGGTTGAAACTGGTTTTTGTGTGTCCCTGATTATTTCCTGGCTGTTGACCAGGGTGGGGTGTCTGTCCCCTCCAGCCACACTTACCTGGAAAACCCATACAGGAAGCCTGGGTGTGTGTGTGTGTGCAAGATCTACATGCCTCAGCGGGCTGTCAGTGAGTGACCACCATGAGTGAAAATTGGCTTGCACAAATAAACTGATGGAAAGCTGGCTGAGGAACTCTGGGAGTTGAAGTCCGCTAGTCTTAAAGTTGCCAAGGTTGGAGACCCCTCCTGTACAGTACCATGGATTTCTTGGAGCGAGTCTCCACATTGGAAACCTTGCTGGCAACTAAGGTTCTTTGTCAAATGTGTATGCTGCCCAACTCTTAGACTCTGGGCTAGCTTGAATTATGCAGCTGATTCAGATTGTTGACCATGTTTTTTGGACACCTCTATGGTGCTAGCTCTTCTGATTCTAGCTGGCTTGCAACATCAGGAATGCAAACATGGAGGAAATCACAAAATCCATCTGTAGAACAAATACAACTAGAAACAAAGATGCTAACCCCTAAAACTAAGCCTATCATAGTTGCTCTAAAATAAGTCCAGTCTCTCTTGAAGAGGACAAGGCTGGTCATCTTTATCACGTTGGGATGTACCTCAACTCAAGGGACAATGTCTTCCAGGAGGAGACGGTTACTATAACTTTCTGAGTGCCCACAGAGGGTCTGCCATAGGGGCGGAAAAAAAATACCAAGATGGCTGTTGAAACCTTGCTTTGTTCTTGATGCTTCAAGGCACACTTTAAAAAGGACAGGGCTTTGAACATGCATCAAAGCTGCCACTCTGACTTCGGGGGCACACTTTTAAAGGGGTTCAGAGGTCACTGCAAAGTCTTTAAAAAGTTAGCTGTTCTGCGTAACCCAAATTTACCGGATAAATCACTTGGCTTGCTTCACATTAAGTCATAAGCAGAGCTTAAAATCAAATGTACAAGTATCAGGGTATATTTTAAAATGGGCACTTACATTTGTCTATGGTTACCTCAACCACTTTAGCCCAGAAATATGGTTGGTTGCATCTCTGAGTGATAGATTATCTGTTAATCTTTGCATTAAGATTGCATAGCATAAGTGCCAAAAATGGGTGGTAAAAACCAACAGGTGTAGTCACAAATACATCTTGGCTGGAGACAATCAAAATGGGTGAGAATCATACTATGTATAATTTTGCATTGTGTAAAGCAGGATTTCATTTTGTGTGTCATCAAGCTACTACAATTTCTCATTATGATTAGTTTAAAATTTTATATTACTAGAGGGAGGGGCAAAACAATCTTTTTTAAGTATGCTTAAAAGACCATGTACCCTTCATCATCAGACTGGTCGACTATTTCTGTTGATGTTATTATGCATTATATTCTTACTCATTTTTATCCAAGATTTCTCTTGGTCTTATCTTGCCCAAGGTAAGTTATCTCTCTGGAGAGATGTAGCATGCAAATGTAAAATATAATACAAAATAAGTATTATCCAGTTACATGCACATTATGAACTAAGAGAATGAATTAGTTCGCTGCTTATTGCAATTGTCTTCCTCAGTAAATTCTGCCTAGAGTTTACTTTGACTGCCAAGGTCACATAGTTGATAACTTATTTAGGTTAGCCATAACAAAAAAATTATTTCGGGTTACAGTTATATTGATGCAAATGCCATCAAAGTCAAGGCCACAAGTATGTTTACTTTATATTTAACAACATTCTTTGCTTCTTATCCAATATGTGACTTGGTTCTTAAATATTCTAAATTTCAACTTCTCAGTTATTTGGTTTACAGTCGGGCATCCAAATAATATTATTTAAAATTCAATTTCATGCCCTTGTTTCTACCAGGAATCTAATCAGTAGCACACTGGTTTTAGAACAAAAATAAAAGACAAGCTTTTTTATTGCACACCGAAGAAAAAACATTTGGCAACAAATGCCTTTATTTTTTGGACACATGAACACAAAATCCCTGCAGGCTAAAAAAAGAAAAAAAAATACATTGCAATTATACACAGCCAGCATATCGCAATGGGGGAGGGAGGTACTGTTAACCTACCCATCCCAGAGTTTCTTTTAAAGAAAAAGTACCTCGTATTGCTATAGACATACATCCAGTCCAATTTAATAAAATACAATTTATAACATTACAAGTCTAACAGTATAGAAACAAACAAACAAACAAACAAAGGAAAAATACATCCGTCGAAAATGAACATATGCCAACAAGTTTTACGTACAAGGTCCAGGCCCTAGACATAGAAATGTCACGAAAGTGTCAATAGCAAGGTATAAAGAAACCCTTAATTGATATCCACTTATGATCTTTCCTCAATTTGCACAAGGGAAAAAACCTTGCAGCTGAAACAGTATTGATACAATGCCCACGGAACTCTGTTTTACGAAAATGAAAACAGAGGAACTGCCTTGCCATCGCGCAAGAAGGGGAAAAAGGACCCACAGCCTTATCAACAAAGGTAGTTTTCTTGGCAGGAGTGGGAACTGACTGGAGGTTGGGTGACCTGTCATAAGAAGAACCATGCCCTTTCTCCACCCATGCAAAGATTCTTGATATTAGGGCTGTAGGAGAAAAGGACTTCTCTTGATCAAAGGAACACGGAACATCTTCTGCCTGTCCTTGGATGCCCTTCTTAAAATGCCCAGAAGTCACAGAAGTAAGCAAGACTCTCTGTTACAGAGCAAAAGCTTTTTAGAGCCTCTTTGGAATAAAAGTGCTCAAAAAAAAAAAAAAAGGGCAGAAGACTTACAGAAGGAACCACATTTGATTTTCCTATAAACACCAAGAACTACTGCCAAATTATTAGCCCATTCTCCTCCAGCCCACAGTTCAAATATGCTACATTTGAAAATCTCCCATGACATAACAGCACAAAAAAAAGGAGCCAGCAGGCTTAATATAAACCAAGAGTCTCCAACCAAGTTGAAATTGTGGCAGTTGTAGCCCAAAACGACCAAAGACAACACAGTTGGAGAAGACTGGTCAAAAGGAAAGAAAACAACATTAAAAACCCCAACCAAACTAAACCCTAAAACCTTAAGAACTATAGCTAGAAAATGCACATCTTCCCATTGATTGACACATGCGTAACCATTCAGTTCATCCCCACGGGAAGGGGCAGTCCCAATGAGTCAAAGAGGTCTCCCAAAGATCAACAAGACCCTCCTTTTATCAGTTTGAAGATCTTCATCGCTATCAGCTCTGAAGCATACCCAAATGACATCATTGGACCATTCAGCAACTAAGAGATGACTGAACATTTTTTTGCACAGGAAAATTTTCAACAGAGACAAGAAGGAAGAGGGGGTGGAAATCATGAAAAATTCCAAGAAAGTGCAAAAGTTGGCAAGAAAGTTTTCTCATCAACATTTTTGGGATGATACAATTCACTGTGATAATAATTCATTTAAAAAAGAATCCTGCTTACATATCTCTGAAATACGGATGATTTCAAAAGACCAATGTGGATTGTGGGCTATAATACACATGAAAAATATGATCAAAATCCTTTTTTTTCCTATGATAAAAAATGTTTAAAAAGAACCATTTCATATAGCTTATACACTTTATTTCGTAATAAGCCAACCAGAAAAAAAATCTTTCCCAGATTCGTTAAGCGTCCTGTCTTCACAGTTTGGGCCCAACTACAACTAAAATTAACTGAGCCCTTTAAAATGCATGTTTTCATCCAATCGCTCTTTTTTGTTACTATTTGGGTGGCAATGAGGAATCCCACCTGGCTCCCAAAATCTGCCTTTGCTGGGAAATGATAGAAGGAGAGGCTTAAGTCATCCTCCAGACTTACTTCCCAATCTTGATCTGGACGTGGGAATAAAAGCAGATTTGGTTGCTGAAGGTATACAAACTTTTTGGAAAGCCCGTTTTCCATTCTGCCTGGCTGGGATTTGGAAGTTCTCGCCTGTCGACAGGTGGGCACATATATCCCTTTTCTCCACCTATACTAGGTGCTAGGGGAGCTACTGGTATACCCAGGTGGTTCATATAGCCATTTTTCTTACTTCTCTCTCTCAAACCATGTCCTTATCTAGTGCAATAAAAAAATGCTACACACTAAAACAGGTGCTTAAACTCTTTTCAAGGTGCCTCAGTTCTCCGTTTGTTTGGGTCAGCAGGAGTTAAAATTCTTGCATTTTCTCCCTGAACATTAAATGAAAAGAAAAGCAGCAGACAAACTAAAGCAGTGGCCACTCTCCCTCCCTGTGCATCCTGATATTGATTATCCAAGTGAGGTATTCCCAAGGAAAAGTTTACAAAAAAAAAAAAAACACCTTATCTATACTTAAGCAATCTAATATCTCAGTTCTGGATGTCAGAACTAAGTTCTGAATGGGGACGAACACTGCATATGCCCTTTCCCACAGACACCCACACATACCCACGGCTCTGGAAGAAGCATATAAAACTTTTTTTGTTTCTTGAAGACTAACTTCAGTGTACTCTGACACAACTGAATAATGTTCTTGGAAATGTACATTTTCCAAGTTATTAGAAGCTCTATTTCAACTGACTGAAGAACAATCTAAATGGTGTATCATATTGCCAACTTGAAAGTCTGGATTTGAACGCTCACAAGATCACATGACTCTGTGACATCACCCTTTGATAAGAAATCCAGAGTGCAATTATTGCCCAAATCCCAGTCTTCCACAGTGATGGCCATATCAACTCAGTCAAAAACTAGGAATTTAAAGCATTGTGTGCTAACACTCACAAGCTAGTCTCAACACAACACTATTATTGTCTGCACAACCCCCTCCATCCTACTTTTGGTATTAACATGTTTCAGTGGAAGAGAACCGAGCAAAATAAGAATCCTAATAGAAAAGGTTCAAGATTAACATTACAATTCACACTTCACACATGCTACTGAGTGTCGCTCTACATGCAAGAAACCTAAATCATCAAAGGAAACAGGATTTAAATTGCTGGTAAAAGTCTTTGATTGCTACTGTCACACTATACACAACTGTACAAATTGGCAAAGCCTTTTTTCCGATACACAACACCCACTTTCCAAGCTTATAAAAAGGGGCAGACGGACCAATGGTGACTATAAAACAGTTAAAAATAATCATTTGTAAAAAGCATGAAGGGAGCCTCTTCTGATCCATTTTCAGTAATTAATTTTCTCTCCAGCAAAGATAAGTCAATCTACCCAAGAATGGATTCTGACTAGAAAAGCTACTGCCAGGTTATTTAAAAAAAATTATTGCCAAAGTTAAAACCTTCTATGAAAAAGAGTATTAAAAATGACTTCAATTTGTCAAACATAGCAGCATAAAATGGGCACTTTTTGTGATGTTTGAAAAATACTAAAACTAATTGTTCAGAACCTGGTTACCTATTTTTAGAAGGGGAAGCATTTCAGCATTTTGAATGAAAAGGTGGCAGTTGTAACCATAATGATTATCATTGTATTAGAACTATTCAAAGGGGATTTTTCTCTGCTAACATGATGCATTCACAGAAGTAGTACCACCAAGCTGAATTCGCAGTTATAGTGCAATGGCTTTGCAGCCCAGGACTGCAGAGAGATTTACAAAAAGGGAACTAGCAAAATTTGACAAAGCGAGAAATTCAAAAACAAAACCGAAGGAACAGCCATACCTCTGAAAATTAATGTTTGTTGAAAGGTGTTTTACACCAAAAATTCACTGATCAAGTCTATATGGCTCCAGACAGAATAACAGCAAAATCCTGTTTTGCCATACCTGGAGACTCACTAAGCAATATGTCAAAGCCCAGCAGGAATTCATTTTCTTGACAACCTTAACATGGGATGAAGAGGTAACATAAATTGATCAGCAAAATATTTCAATAAAAACCTTTCGTGCCAAGTCCTTTAAAAATTATTAAAGAGGATCAGCCTTTTGCGTATTGAGGTAAAAATTCAGTCCAATGCAAAGACTGTTTATGAAGTTTCTGCTTACGGAAAGAAATAAAAATAAAAATGGCTCAATTGTGCCTGCACGAGATGTTGGCGGCAGGTATCAATTCAGTGCAATTGTCCGATGCTGCTGGTGGAGGGCAGCCTGAATTTAAAAAACGAGCCCTGACAATTAACAGTTGGTGGCCTGACCAACCAGACCACTCCTGCCACGTGGGTGCAGAGTCTTATCAGGCAAAATACATGGTGTGCTGGGTGTCATGATGGATCTGTACTGCCTTGGCTAGTGCCTGAGGGTCACGGCCATTGCTCTGTCCTGACACGTGGCTGCCTTCAGCACTGAAAAAGAAGTTAGAAGGATTTAAACACATAATCCCACTGAGATCATGCTCTTCAACTACATATCCCCACCCTTGGCAGGTTGCCACTGTTTCAATGTGAAAAGCCACTTCCGAGTATTGGGTAGAAGTGGTTTCTATTCATATTACAATAATACACTGGTAGTCTCTGACTTATGACCATTCGAAGTTAAAACAGAACTACCTTGGGGCTTCTTATGACCCAGATTCAAAGTTCCAATGGTCACTCCCAGTCATATGACCGAATTTTGGATGCTTGGCAACTAGGCCATATATATGGCTGGCTGTAGCATCCCACCGTCATGGTTTACTAGTTTTGCTGAAAACAAGCATTTACCTCCATTTTAGCAAAAAAAAAAGGCTTTGGTGACTGCCGCAAAAACGGTTGTAAAATAGATCACATGTCTGTCCCATTTTACCATTGTCATGACTTACAATCATAATGGGCAGGCTCCATTATGGTTCTAAATCAAGGACTACTTGTACAAACAAGGTTAACAATGAAGCCCATCTTTCTTACATGTGATTCAGGCATCTACTCTCTAAATTACTGTTTCTCCTGAAATATCCAAAACATTGGGAAGAGTAGAAGTTTGAATTAGCTTAGCATAAATTAGTAAAACTAACAGGCTCCGCTAATACAATTTCAGAGTCTCTGCATTTTGGGGGGGAGTAGATTATATTGATAAATACATTGTCTAATTTTTCTAGCCAATTAAATGGAATCTATAATTAGAAGGCAGAATGTGGCAACCTGTTCAATAAAATATTGCCTGTGAAGCAACCAGCAACTAATGCCATCAAAAATGTTTACCTTCCCTCTGAAATTCGAACTGTTACAAGGGAAGGAGCTTTGCATTTAGATCAAATCCATAATGGAAGGGCAGATCTGTATATAATTTACCACTTACCCAGAATGTAATCCTAGATTCTGAGTACCTGAAACCCTGAAGGTTCTTCTCCAAGGTTTGCTCACCTGTCATGGTCTTTGTCTACAAGATGGTATCTTGCTCTAAATGCCACTAGCCTGGCATAATATGCAGGCGCAGGGATTGAGACAGACCGTGTGCATCGAACGTAAGTGTGACACAGCTGGTATGTCAGTAGCTGCAATTCATCTGCGGTGAAGCAGTTGTCATCCCACAAGACTTGATAGTGAGAAGGACGGCTGGTTCCCTGAAATAAGATAAATCTAGTCAATCCACCATTGAAATTCCCTGAAGACAGAGGCACAAGAGGCAGGCAGTAACCTCAGAACAAAGAAGTTGGCTCTTTTTCTTTTCTTCTCCACGAAAGTCCTCTCTTTCTTCTTACCGACTTTCTATGCAAGAAAGGAGCAGCTTATTCATCCTCGGGGCGAAAGCTGTTCCTTAACGCACAAGAAAATGCTTCACTGGCTTTTCAGGGCCAAAATATGGCTGCCACATTTCAATATCAAGGTTAACCTTTCATTTATACAAGGCCGGTTTCATCCATGCACGAACCACAAAATGCTACAGCTGACTATATTATGATTACCTGGATTCCCGCATGGCTACAGAGGTAAAAGTCGAATTCAGAGGGGTGGGTGATGGTGCTATCCACAGTAGTGCCTGCTGGAACATTTCCACTTTTCCCCACCTATTGGAGACAACAACACAGCCATAATGCTTAGTGTGCAGCATCCACGTCAACAAAAGCAGAATTCATCATTATATTTTATTTGATAGTAACTCAATCAATCAGTGTAACACACTTGAACCTTAGCACTACCCTACTACTAAAGATTAAGGGTCATGATTCAACAAGCAACTGGACAATTTCCTCTAAAGATGAAACTCTTCCGCTTTGCCTGACGTCAGCCAGATTCAGATATATGTAAAGCAATATCCAACTGGGACTATTTTCACATTATCCAAATGCTATCGCCCTATAGTAGCCATTTTGAATTTAGTGAACAAAATGAGCAGCAAGGAGTAGCACATATGACTTGACAAGGAGAAATGTACAAAACATTTTTGATTTTAAACTTGAAATATTACCTTAGGCTCATTAAAGTTGGAACAACTGTTGCAACTTGAAATGGAGTGGGTCAAACTTGAAATATGTTGAACTGAAAGTTCTCCAATAATAAACAGGATGAAATGAAATAGATCTGACTTACCTGGATCTCATGCATTTCATTCTCTTAGGAATCATTAGAGTGCTGAGGGATGCTTACAAATATGCCTCAACATTTTCAGCTAGGCTTTAGCTTCTTGTAGCAGTATTACATCTGACACTTAGAATCAATTTTGAATTATTATACTTTTAATTGATTCAAAATGTGTAAACTTATCCCCACCACCACTACCACCACCACCAAAAAAAACCCCATCAGTATCGAGCCTTATAAAAATTCATTTGCACCATTCTTACCCCCACCTGGGCACTTTTCCAAGAAAAGCCATCTGGCATCTGAAAGCTGCAGAATTTAATAGGATGGCTTTATGTTCTCTTTGCAGTTACCTACCCGTTCAGTTTTGTCTGCACAAAAGAGTCTTGTGTGATGTCTTTTCTGCACGACAATGTAGGTGATCCCTGGCCTGTAGTCTTCTTCTAAACTGATACAGGCCTTCCGGATTGCGATAAGCTCAGGCCAAGCTACCTAGAGGTGTTAAAGTTGAAATCAACTCAATTGATGAAGCAATTCATGAAGTCCCACTGAAGTTGTTGAACTATTAAGTAAGAACAGGTATAAATCGAAGCCAACTTCTGGTTTCTGAATACATCATGGTACAATATGATTTTGCAAACTTGCCATGAAAAAAATAAGACAAGTACATTTACAAAACTGCTTGTATGCAGATACATCACTGATGTATAACATACATCTGGTTTGGATGAAGAAACTACTTTTCCGGCATACAGGTAGTCCTTGACTTATCATAATTGAGCCCACAATTATGGCCATGAATTGTGATGGTCATTACACCAATTATCAAGTGACTGTGCCTGATTTTACCTTTTTTTTGTTAAGTGAACGCCATGATTATTAAGCAAACACCAGTCACTAAGCAAACCCATTGTTCATTGCAGGGTGTTTTTTTGCCAGAAACTGGGAGCAAATGCTCTTTCAGCAAAAAACTTCATATATCACATTACATTTCAACAGGAGTTCTGCAAAGAGCCATAAATACGAGCATGCAAAATGCAGTCATTCATTGACAGTACTAGGATCCACACCAAAGTCACTCTTTACGGATTAATATAGTAACTGTTTACCGGATGATCTAAAATACAGTGGTTTTAGACATTGTAACATTAACATAACCATCATGTTACTGATTATTATTAGGATAATTACAGTGTTTGCAACCATTGCCAGATTTCTGTACAACAATGGAGCTAATAAGTAATGCATGCAGGTATTTCAGAATCTTAAGTATAGTTTCAAACTGAATGATTAAATGTTTGTGTTGGGTGCATTCTTGGCATAAACCTCTTTTCAGGCTATCTGGCGGAGGGATGGATTTTCCGAGGAGCTTCATTCAGAGGATGGATGAATCACAAGACCAATACCTGTTTCATCTGCCCTTCGGATACTCCTCCTCTGTAGTAAATTATCCGTGTGGGCTTGAAGCGAGTGGATTTGTAAAACTGGATCAACAGTTCTCGCACCATATTGGTCAGGTCCTGAATCACTTCCTGACTGTACAGCAGTTCTTGTGATGTCTCTTGACGGGATGTTTGCACTCGCACAGTAGCGCAATAGCGGCTGGGGTGGCCATCCATGCTTCCTACTACAGCAGCAATGGAAGGTTTCTTCCCATCTCCAGCAGGTGGGTGAGTGACATCTGCTCCCAGAAAAATAACAGGTTGCTGGAATACTGAGGGCCTGGGGAATTGAAAAGAAAGGCATTTTAACTAGGAACCAGCAAAAAAAAAATCCTTTTTAAAAATGTTCTATACAGTTCTAATTATCAATTTTATTTTCCCCCAGCTATTTTTCAGTTGCTGAGATGTTTAGTGTTTATTTCTGCATTATACAACTTAATATTCTATTTCTTCAACAGCTAATATACCCCACCTCAGCGAGAGGACAAACAATAAATATGCCCTGATGTCACTATGTGGCTTCCTGTTGCATCAAACAATTAACTTCAATCCTCAATTAATTCCTGCTTTGCTTGGGGATAAAAAGGAGAATTCGTGAACTTTTGTCCCTTCTTTGAAATAAAAAAATTCAGGTCAGCTCAGTCAACAAGAAATCTAAAGAATTTATTAGTATAAAACAAGAATTACAAAAAGATAAAATCTCAAGGGCTGTAGGGACAAATGGAAATCCTACACTGGACTCCCAGATAGCCTCACTTTCTAATGTGCAGACTATTATACAGGCTTTTATGTGGACAACTTATCCAGTGTAGGATATCATAGTAGAAGCGTGAACAAAAAAAGAAAAAAACTACCATGTTTCTCATATAATAAGGCCAGTTCTTTTTTTTTTTTTTGAGCCCTGAAAAAATGGCTAGGACGTCTTTTCGGGGGTGAATTAATTTCTCGCCCCACCAACCACGCACCCTCACCTAGGGCGCCTCGCGGGCAGCTACACCTTGCCATCAGCCACTCCTAACGGCCAATCATGGCGGAGCGTGGAGGGCTCCCTACCCCCAAGCACCTTTGCTGCAGACCCGGGTCAGCAGGCGGGCGGCAGGGATGTCTGCCGGCAGCGTTTCAGCTGCTTCTCAGGCCTCTGTAGCTTCCACGATTCCCGCTGGTGCTGGTGCCTCTCTCACCAGCGCCGTCTCCAACAACAGCATCTGAGTCGCTCCCGCTTTTCCCCCCTGTAACAACAGGGGGGGAAAAGATTTTGAGGTACCAGGGAGCGCTGCGTGCTGCGTTTTGGTTTAATTCCGAGAGGCTGGGTGGGCGTGAGTAGAGCTGAACGAGCGTCTCTGCTGCTGCTGCTACCCTTGGTGCTCCAGCCTCGGGCTCTGCAAGTTTCCAAAAGTCCCGGTGTGCAGCCCGTTCCTGCATTCCAAGTGCGCCCAGGCCGAGCTGCAGCTGTCCCTCTCTCGCCAGCGCCGTCTCCAACAACACTGGCAGCAGCAGCGGGAACCATGGAAGTGTTTCAGTCGCTTCTCGGGTGGGGGAGCCGCCTCCGTAACTTTCACG